ACACACACACACACACACACATTACCACCCAGCTTGTGACTCAAGCCTCTTCCCACTGTCTGGAATCCATCAAGGTCACAACAAAAACCCTGAAGAGCTGCTCCTCCCTCTGGAGTTTTTCTGTTGGTCCCCTACGACCTCGCTTTGATATGTTTTTCAAACATTTTTGGAGGCGGGCCAGGACTGGAGCTGAATGAATTTGTTACCGAACAGAGCGGGTCGATTCGTGAGAGATTGGGTTGATTGATTTTATTTGGCAGGACATCAGGAGGGCGGAGGAGGTGCAGTCTATCAGTGTGGGACAGGACAAGGGTTCAACAGATGTGAGTGTGAAGACTGCCACTGTCCACTGTTTACATTTGAGGGGTGAGACTTAGAGATACTTTGCCTCGTCCCTTATTAAGTTTTTGGTAGTTTGGAAAAGTTTGTGAACAGAAGGTCAGTCGGTGGTGTAGATAAACGATGGATAGATGGATCTGTATCTGAAACATAGAATCCACTGAGACGAACACATTACGTCACTGGCAGGATTTTTATTCTTTATATGAATAACTTTGATCGAGACAAAGCTCAAAGGACTATCAGGATTTTTAATTGTACATAATTTGTTGCTGGAATGACCTCAATTGTGAAAGTGACAAGTTTGTGACACAGCTGTGTATTTGTGTGTGTGTGTGTGGCATACATACACACCCTGGTTCAGAGCGCTACAGAGTACGTACGTATGCACTCTGCTCATAAATACAGGCCATGCATTATTCATGGTTGCTCCTCCAGCTAATGCCCCTTAATGTGCCCAAACAGCCATAATGTACTCTGCTGTCAAGGTGGCAGAGACCCCATCACACACACACACACACACACACACACACACATGCACGTCAAACCGCTGCCCTGAGATTTGACACTACGTCTTTGTCCATGTCGCTCTCAGGCTCTTATCGTGCTCTCAAATGGTTCCATGTTCCTAATTTTCTTTTTTAAAAAACCCCCATTTCATTCTTGATCCAAATTGCTGTCGCTGTCTCGACACATTTCCGTCGAACTTTGCTCGATTTTTGTCCCCAATCCTCAGCTGTCACTGTTTCCATCTGTGCCACTCCTCCCCCATGAATCCCGTACTGTCTCTTTTTCTTTGTTTTGAAATGGAAAATATGCATCTGAGAACAGTTTGTCAAGATCCCACTGTTCTCCCCCTCCTCATGGCCGCGGGGGAGGAGGCGGGTGTCAGCTCTCTGCACAATTAGGATTTTGTCTAAACAAGGATTTGTAGCTGTGAAGCTCCAGCAGCAGAAATATAAGTATGTAATCTCAATCAGTTTGGTGGGTGCAGAGAAAACAGTTTAGAGAAAAGAACCCTTGAAAAACCATAAAATCCGTTGAAGGTGTGATGTTTATTGATGCTGCTCTGCTTGTCTGCGTTTTATCGACAGTGCTTTATGCTCTAATCACTTTGTAATTGGTTTGCCTGTTTACTGTCTGTGCTTTTAATTGCTCCGGCTGATTGTGATCCTTCTTTGTTTTGTTCTGAGTGGAACACTCTAACTCTTCCGAAGGGTAAAATTACTCAAGTTTACAAGTTTTTCTTTGTTGTAATAAATTATGAATGCGTGAAGCATTTTTTCGATCATTCGCTCACAAAAAACGCTCAGGCTGCTTCCTGGACTTTGCCGCGCCTCAATTTAATCAATGGAAACATTCAGAGATAAACACAAAGCCCTTCTTACGTTTATTTCACCTGGTCAGCCACACCCAGAACTGACTCAGTATTCTACTCTTCTTCCACCGTTCCTCTACTTTAAAAACTCCATTTTATTGATCTAAAGGAGAAACTTCTTCTCATCCACTTTTACTAGTTTAACTGTTGAAAAACAGGTCACTGTGTCGTTGTGCTCGGTGTCTGAATTAATCATGGATGTGTTGTGGGTGTAACATTCAATGAACCAATGAGTGACGTCTTCTCTTCCCCTATAAATCCACGATGTGCTGTTATATTATTATAGTATGCAGGACTTGTTTTGGCCTTAGTGTTTAAAAGCTGCTCTAAACAGTCATTTTAAACGAGGGAGGTTCACTTCCTGTGTGTTTCCCCCTCAGCTCTACATGAAGCTTGAGAGCTCATTGTTTTGTTGGTTGAACCCACAACGTAACTAAAAGGAGTTTGAATATTGGACTTGTGATTCTGGACGTGTCTCAAAACACAAAGTGTAAAGTTGCTGCGTGTGTGTTGGACGTGTGAATACACAAGCTTTTTATTTTAATTTCTTTTAAAATAAATTCAACTTATAATTCAACTTCGCACGTTGTTTTCATCACGATGATGATCGCTCACAGTTTGTTTTTAAAAACACAAAACACGCCCCTTTTATTCAGCACACACACACACACACACACACACACACACACACACAGACAATAACTCCATTCATTCCTTCTCTCTCTCTCCGTCAGTTCTCTCTCACTTTCTCTCTCTCAACTCTTCGTAAACACAGTGAAGGTCAGAAACACAGCACACACAGCGTCTGCCCCTCCGCAGCCCCTCTGACCTGGATCTGCTGCGGTTGTTTCGTCTGTTTGAATTCTGCAGACGCTCCACAGGAGGTCAGGTTATCGGGGGTTAGATATCGGGTTATTGTTTTTCACGGTACAGTCCGACTTCACCAGTTAGCCATGTGTGCGATGATACGTGGTGCTGCCTCGGTTTAGCCGCAACGTCCGCCACCAAGATCCTTGTTCTTTTTTTCTGCAGAAGTATTTATTGTATTTGACAAAGTGTTTGATTTGACTAAGGTCCCATTTGTTTGGATTCAGTTCCAGCTGTCTTCACTTGTTTTCTTCAGCTCGACTTGTTTCTCCTGCTGCTTGATTTTAGCTAAATCCGCAAATAATCTTCAAACTGGAAAGAGGAGGAATGTTTATCTACTGCTGCTTCAATATGTGACAACAACATGCACTCTGATTGGTTAGAAGTGTCCTTGTCCAAAGTAAAACCTTGGAAAAACCTTGGTCCAAAGAAAAAAGTAAAGTAAAACTGCGTCTTTCCAAGTGACTGAACCTGATTCACAGGACACAACGTTAAATTCAGAGCAAAGTTTGATTGGTTTCGCATGAACACAACTTGTCTAACAAACATCCTGCTCCAGGTTGAAATGACCTCTTTGTTAAAGTGAGGACAGTTTCGGGGTCATGGTTACGATAAATATGACTCAGTTAAGGTCAGAGAACGATGGTGAAAAGAAACTGGAAACAAACATTGGTCTCTTGTGCTAAAGTCCAAAATTTGATCCAATCCAGTCAGCCCAACCGACCCCCTCTGTGGACTTTGTGTCTCCGTGATAACGTCACCTGATTCATTTTATGTGACGACAGCTGCTGCACATGTCAACAAATAACTGGAGGATTGATGCTTGTATTTCTTGGCGGAACAGTCTTGGTGGGTTTTGGCATTCAAACTGTACAGTTAAAAAAAAAAAAAAGAAGAAGATGATTCTCATGATTCTCCCCAAAACTCACAAAAGTTTTCTTTGAGATTCTCAGAAAATCTTCAAACACTTTCCCTCAGTCTGTGATCTGATATACAACCCACCCAGGAGACGTCTGAGTGCACACACACACACACACACACACACACACACACACACACAAATACCTTCTTGAACAAGTGTTAAATTCTACTAAACAACAACAACTGAAGTTTCCTTCACAGTTGAGAGGAATCACACAAGTCTTAGTGAGGAGAGAAGGTCCTCAGCTCTGCTCACTCACACTGTGCAGGTACAGTCACGGTGCACGAGAGCAGGGAGACTCTCCGCCTCCTCACACAGGATGAGCATGTTGCACTGTGTAAATATTAACTGTGGTGTTCATGCTGCGGTGTCTTCTCTCCGTCACCGGGATGTTACACAGAGGAAGATGAGCAGAAAGATGAAAACACACTCACCTGATTGATGTTTCCCCCAAAAAACGTGTCTTTACTTCCTCTTCTTCTTTCTTTACTACTTCTTCTTCCTTCCTTCCTTCCTTCCTCTCGTCAGCTTTGCTTCAGCTTCCCAGGCGTCCTGAGGAGGTGTGTGCTGAGTGTCTGAGAGTGTGTGTGTCACAGTGTGTGGGGAGGTGTGTGTGCCTGTGTGTAAATGTGTGTAAGTGTGTGTGTGTGTGTGTGTGTGTGTGTGTGTGTGTGTGCAAGCTTGTAAGAGAGAGGCTCTGCTTTGTGCTGCCGACCTCAGTGAGAGTGTTGTTGCAACTGACTGAGTGACTGGGAGAGAGAGAGTGTGTGTGTGTGTGTGTGTAAACTAATCTCTCTCTCTCTCTCTCTCTCTGTCACACACACACAAACACATCTCTGCCTCAGGGAAACACCCCTCTCCCTCACGCCCTCCTTTTTTCCGCTTCTTGTCTTTTTTATTTCTCCCCCATCAGATCTTTTCTCTCCTTTCATCTCTTCACCTTCAAGGAGTAAAAACCTTTCCACTCCTCCTCCCTCTCTGCTCCGTTTCATTTTTAACCTCCTCTTTTGTCGTGTTTCCTCTCACACTCCCTCCCTCAGTTTGCTGTTGTGAGTCCGCTGAATCATAAATAAGTTACAGAGCGCTGATACAAAACAGCACAAAGGCAACGACACGAGCCAAACATCTCCGACGTTGCTTTTTCTTTGACTTCATATCAAATCCAGATTATTTCAGTGTTTTACATTGTTTATCCTGTTTTTGATTTTGTAAAGACTCAACTCAATGATGAGGCGGTAGATGGGAACAGGATTTTATCCCCTGGTCACCTCATGTCAGGGACAAACTGCTTCTACTGATGGTTGATGAGTCAGACTGAACAGCACTGGGCTGAAGTTTCTTGTTTTTCTTTTTCTATTTAAAAGTCTGATCTTGCTCATGTCTGTCGAGTTTGATTCTTTTCAACCAATCATCTGCAAACGTTATAAAACAAATCTCCACCCTCGAATCATTTCTGTCAGTTTGGAGCTCTGGAAACTGTATTTGAGATTAATCATCTGAAATTCAGACGTCCAGTTGGAGAACGTTTCCTCACCCTCTGCTTTATTTTCTGCAAAATAATTAGAAAAAATTCTGGTTCGGTCAAACAGACTTGAATTAGTGAGAAATGTCTTTATTAATAATAAAATAATGCAAAAAAGTAAATACATTTTTCATGTTACCCAGCTGAAGTTCTTCATCCTGTCTCCCTTGTTCCTTTGACGAAAAATCAATAAATTGTTTTTATTCATGCACTTCGCCAAAGCTGCCGTCCGAATCAATACTGAAACATACAGAAATAAGAGCGGAGAGAAAAAAGATGAGCGCCTGATTGAACAATGGCAGGTAATTGAAAGAGACAGCAATCAGTTTAACCTTGAGCAGACCCCTACTCACTTTTTGTTTAAGCCCATCACAGCGATTACAGAATTTAACTCGAGTCTGCTAATCTGCTCCAGATCCACGTTGAACTGCTCCTCTGAGCGGAGGGGCTGCTTTGGTGGGTGTATTATAAACATTACAGCACAAAACAGCAGACGACACAAGTATTCAGACGCTTTTTGTTTTGTGTCGGTGTATCAGAGCATCATGCACCGAAGATTTCTGCTGCATGTGGGGGTTGTATTTATTCTGCACAAACAAATAAATCAGAGTGAAAGTTACGAAATGGATTCGAGTCCATGTTCACTAAATAAACGCGTAAACAATCTCAAACACCCTCAAGGCTGAATATTAATACTTTACTTTAATTAATGACTGAACAGCGTCGGGCCTCGTGCTTATGTTCAGGTCGGACACGTGGACGGACACACACATGTAGTTTCCTGTAGTTAGCATGTCACTGTCCTGTTCATGTGTAAGTGAATGTGTGGGGGTGTGTGACTGTGGGGGTGGGAGATGAGTGACTGGATTAGGAGGACCCCCCCCCCTCTGTGAACAAAGCTCCTCCACCAGCTGAAATATGGAGCGTATGAGCCTCTGTTATCTCTGTCTTACTGTCGGGGGCGGCGAGGAGCTTCTCTTTATTTCTCTCTCCAAAACAAAAAGCCGGCCCCCTGCTGAGTTTCTCGGCGGGGGGGGGGGGCGCACTCGCCGAGCCATCTTCCTCTCCCTCCGAGACCCCTGGGAAACGCTCAACCAGCACTCCACCCCTCCTTGCCTCCTACGTTGCTGGTTGCCATCACCCCCACCCTACTACCCCTGTCTCCCTCCTCTCGTTTCCCTCCCTCCGAGGCTCCAGTTAAATTTCGGTCTGATGTGTTACTCTGATGATCGCTCTTCTTTTTCTCATCTCCCCTTTGTGTTCCTCTGCTTCCTGTCTCTCCAGCACTTCTCCTCTCTTGACCTATTTGATGACCCTGGTCCGTGCTCGCCCTCCTCTTATCTTTCACTTCAACCCACTTCTTTTTTCAGCTATTTTGGAAAACACTCTTCTTTCTTTCTGTCTTTTTCTCCTCTCCCCTTTTCATTCTTTGTCATTTTCCTCTGCTTCCAAGCAGCAGAGTAATTTGGCGCTCGCTCGGGCCTGTGAGAAAACCCAGGGGCTTGGTTGCTCTATGAGGCGACATCTCTGAATAAATAAGCATGGGTAATTTGTTCTGAACCTGCAGCCTCTTGTTTTTTTTAACGTCTTTTCTTCCTCCCAGTTTAGAGAGCGCAGATAAAGACACAATGAAATGGTGGGAGACCCTCTCAGAGGCTCATTATATGGTTGTCAGTGAAGTTTTCTCACAGGACATTTTGACAGATCGTTTGTTCCTTTTCAGAGTAAATTATCTCTATTACATTCCTTTCTCTCCAGAAGCTGTGGATTTGGATGAAACGCTCTCATTTAAGGATGTAATGAACCGACAGTTCTGTCTTGAGCCGATGCAGATTATCGAGAACAAATTGCAAAGCTTATCATACAGAACCAAAACAGCCATGAGCAGTGTAGCACCTGATGAAGACGAGGCTACTTAAGAGACATTTAATGCAGTGAGGTGGATGTTGTGTTTCCATCCTGGCGGTTGTCGCTCTGGTTTGATTTGTTTCCTGTCTGCTACACACAAACACACGCTTGTCCATTCATGGCTTGACGAGGGAAGTGTGCGAGCGCCAGGTCAACTGTGAACATCAGGTATTAATAATGCAGGACAAGAAGCAGTCCCTCCGACTGCAGAGCTGTGCATCTCCGCTCCCCATCCCACCTCTGTGAGCAACCTGTAACCCCCCAGAGGAGGAAAAGCTGCCAAAACACCATCCAAAATTTTTTAAATACAAATTAGACCAGAGCTCTGCAAGGTGATGTCAAAGGAAGTAATACTTTCTCATCAATCAATGGTTCATCATTTTGTTAAATCATCCAATCCAGGAGACGAGATGCAGCTTGTCAAAGAAAATTATGAAATGTTTCCTACTTTGTTCTTTTGATGAAACATTTTGGCGACTTAAAAATACTTCGAGAATGAGTTTGTATGTGAAATAAAATGATTGATTGTCTCGCTCCATCGTATAAACCCACCCAAGGCCCTACGTCTTCCAGGTCATATCTTATAGTCCGACCCCGGCATTGCAATAATCCACTTGTTGAAAGTCGTTGAACTAAATAGAAAATCTTTTTCTAGAAACATTCCTCAAGTGGAAAAAAACACGAGAAAGTTGGCTTTTAACGTGAGACTCGAGAGGGAAGTTCTGGTTTGAAATAGCTGAGGTTTCGAACAGCGGGTACCACATGCTGGGCTGGAGCGCTACGAGCAGCCAGAACTTGGCTGTGAGTGTGTGTACAGTTGGTGAATTGGTTTTAAATAAATATTTTAGAGCTGCAACATTATCTGAGGCAGCTGAGCGCATCATTTGTGGCAGCAAAAACTGAAGATTTACCAGACTTCATGAATAATGAGGAAAATCTTACCAGCGTTATTAAAGATGCCTGAGCAGATTTCCCACTTAAGAGGATTCTTTATTTCTTCTTCTTTATTCATGTCTTTTAAAACCAGATGACGCAGACACAGGATGCTCAGGGGCATCACAGAAAAGTCATTTACACAAAGATTGAGAGACAAAAAGGCAAGTCTGCAAAAAGAGACATTTCTGGGAAAACACAAGTTTCACATAAACGTTTAAGTGAAGAAAATTGTCCCTGAAGATTTGGTCTGTGTCCACGTCCATGACTGTTATGAATTTGAATTGGTGGAGACATCTCAGCTCTGTTCTTGTGTTTGGTTCCTTTGCTTAAAATATTTGTGAAAAAGTTTACATAGAAAACTCAACGTGTTTTCTTGCACACACGCAGCGTCCTGACATCCCTGACAGGGTTGGTAGGGGGTATGTGCTACATCCTGGAATAGATATGAACTGTCATCCAACAAGATCTGCATGCAGCGATCGAGAGCTGAGCGCGAAAGGGCTGCGGTGCCTCACAGATACACACACGTGTACAGAAACACACTCAGGTGTTGGTGGAGCAGAACTTTACTGAAGACCAAACTGAGGAGAGGAAGGAGAGGGAGGAGAGGGAGGAGAGGGAGGAGACAGACAAGACTCACACATCTTAGTGAATAAAACCTCACAGCAGAAATAACGTTTCTCTCCTGCTTCTGTGAACGTGCTGCAGTGTCGTCTGTAGTGATGCTGGAAACCTGCAGTAACCTGACGCTGCTGCACAAAGAGCTCACGTTAAATCAAAATGCAGTGATAACATTGATTCAGAAATTCTAGTAGTTTACTTGACTCGACTTTTATTTACACTGGGATGCTACTGGAAAATTAAAAAGCAGCTCGTATCAGTGAAAGTCAGCAGGAACGCTCTTGTTATTGTTTTTAATGCTGTTCATTGTTAAATCTCTCTGACTGAAGCGCTCCCTCAGCCCCAGCGCTGTGTACCGAGTGTGTTGTGTCTGGAGCCCTGAGCTTGGAGACGCTCCACAATGACGCTCCTCTGGGCCCGTGTGGCCGGAGGAGCCAAGAGGTGAGGGAACGAGAAGATGAGGGGGCAAGTTGAAATAAGAGAGAAATAAGGAGAGAGGAGGGAAAAGGAAAAAATCAGCGAGGGGGAGTAGATGTAGGAGAAAAACAAGGTAACAAGGAAAGCAAGCAAGGGAGCAAATATGTGCAGAGGAGAGAAAACAAGAAGAGAGGGAAGGAAATATGGGGGACAAGGGATGAAATAAGAAAGGGAATGAAAGAAGAGCAGAGGAGAGGAGGTGAAGAAAGGACAGGGAACAAAGTGAGGAGAAGTGAGGTGCACAATCATAACAATTACAAAAAGAGAAGAGGGGAGAGGAT